AATATCCCACTGTGGACTGCTTTCTCAGAACATTGGCCAAAAAATGATAAATGTTTTACTGACGGGGATTCAGGTCCAACACCAGATGTTTCTTTAGTGGACCTTCCCAATTTTTCCAACAACAGCATTTACAGTGGAAAATAACATTTTTTTTCTTACTTTTTCTAGTAAGTTCTATGAGACTAATTGGATCAGACCCTATGAGAAGCAAGATGTAGTATTATTCTGAAGGGAAAAAGAAGTAGATGATTTATCATTTGGGGGCGTTAGTGAAACATTTCAGTATTTACTGGAGTATCTGAGCAAGGCAGGCTTTGTCTCAATTTGTGTCGCAGTCATATCATGAGTCAGAATGATTTCATTGATCTGTCCCACTCCGCAGTCTTTTAATGCCATCATTGATTAGGCGACTGAGATTGTTGTGTAGGAGGCTTATCATGACAGTAAGAATGAATGTTCTTTTAAAGTATAATTAAAAATCCTGCACGAACAATTTCTATATGTCAAAAAAAATTCAAAGTCTTTCTTGCCTCCCATGAAAGACATGCCCAAGTTGTTACTAGAAAAATATCCAGAGTCTCTGAAGAAAGACAGAGCTGGGTTCCTGTCGCATTTCCTCTGTGGATTTTATTATTAACCCTTTCATTTTGAATTTTCTCATTTTAAAATGGAGATAGCACCATGAACAATCATTTACTTGATGCTGTTATTGTAAAGAATAAAAAGATGTGACTTCTCTAAAAGTCTTAGCAGGATTTCTGATTGGTAGGAATTACTTAACAAGTATTTACTCCAGGCCTCCGAATGAACAGTAAGAAAGATAAAGGGCTGAGGAAATGTTTTCAATCAATATGTCTGCTTCAAGGCACAGTTAGCCCTGCTGTTTGTTTTCTGTAACTCTTGGGAGATAACTGACCAGGGAGAGTCGGGATGCCCCAAACTACAACTCCAAGAGGAAATAGAACTGACTGGAGAGTAAAAACCCGAGACAAATGTGCCTGTGCACAACCTGCCCTTCACTTCTTTTGTCCGGTTTCCTGGAATGTAACGCAAAAATAACGACACCTATGGGGTGTGTGAGGGACCCTTGGTCTGCTTGGCCAACCCGTTTTCTCCATTGGCTGAGACTTGAGTCCCGTCCTAAAGGGTTCACGTAGCCATGCTAGTTCCACTTTAGTGGGCTCTGCTAGTTGCTTCAAACGCAGAGATGGGGAGTCACCTGATACAGGGAGACCCACCCATTGGCCAGGCTGACACAATGGACTTCTCTCTCCAGACAGGAGAAATTGACACAGTGAATACAAAGTGCTTCACACGGCACCCAAGAGGGATTCAGTAATTTTTAAACTAAAAGTAAAGACCATTTCTTGCTATCTATTCTTCCCTCACAAAAATGTTTCTGCAGTACTTCTAATTTAGCTGGTTGGTACAAGCCTAATAGGCAGTGCAGGGGAGAATTCTCCCCAGCTGTTGGAGTGACAGCTCAAATCAAGAGGCGGATGACATTTCTATCTTTATATCCCTTTCATGCCAGGGAGAGTTCTGAATGAAGCTTGTATTAAGCAGTTTTCTCTGGAAAAGCCTAAGAGTTCTCACGCTAGAAATTTTAATGTCATGATCCCAGTCTAGGTAAATTCAGACCTAGGATTGCTTATTTTTAACAAGTCAGACTAGAAAGCAACAGAGGTAAAATACCATTTCCAGCTATGCCTTTCTCCTGGTGCCCTCTGAGACTATGTCTCAAGCCTCAGGAATGACTGCCTACTCTTCCTGTCCTTAACAGGTTCAGCTCATTAAATGCTGCACAACTTATTCAGCAAGGATTGTATCTCATTTTTCTCATTAAACTAGAATAGGCACCATAGAGGGAGAAGGGTGGAGATTTTAGCTCCTGCGATCTTAAGGATCTATATGACAGGAAAGGTTTCTCTTAATAAACAACACTCATTCTTGCCCATCACAGCATTTATCTCAACTATCCATCAATATGGTGGATGCAGGATTTCCACTCCTCTATGCACTTTTCATAGCTCACACTGTTTATTTTCTTTTCTCTTTCAACTTCTTATGTCATGAAACTTATTTCCTTTTCTTTTTTTATACACTGCTGAGGGTCATTTTGATTTGTTCTTCTTTTTACAATTTTTATCCTAATTAAATTCTCTCAGTTGAAGTTATAGCTTGATTTGCATGGCAGAAATCTCTCTCTCTCTCCCCCTCTCTCTTTCTCTCTCTCTGCTGTCTCTCTGTCTCTGTCTCTCTCTCTCTGTCCAATACAGAAAATTTCTGATTTTGGATTAGGCAACTATGTGATTAATTCACATCCATGATCCTGAAAATTTCTGCACATGTTGAAAAATCCTGCAATGTTTTGGTGGTATCAACAAGGCCATTGGGCAAAGCACCACTCTTTCAGGGCCAGGCACTGTGCAGAAGTCACTTAGATAGAGCACAGCAACTCCTGTGAGCACTTTCCCTTCATTTGCATACACACATATAATCTGTAACCAGCAAAGAATAATCCAGGTTTCTTTTCAAAAGGAGCAACCAGTTCAAATGCACAGCTGGGTATGCCAGAAAACACATAATTAGACAAATTGGATTTAAGAGTTACGTAAGGTCTCAGCTGAGCCAGTGAATAAGAAGCTGAATGAAACGTTGTGATTGCTGCTCTGGTGCCTGGGAAGAACAGAATATGTGGATATGTGTGTTTGGGGCAAATAAAAGGCAATTACTGGGAGTTATGGAGTGTGGCTGGTGTTCTAGAGAGTCACACTATAGAATGTTGCACAGTGGGTTGTGCTGGGGGGACACGATGTTGTCCAGTGCTAACAGGGGAAGTCTGTCAGAAGACGTGTGCCTAGGAGAAAAAGAGCTAGGAAGTCTATTTTGAAATTGTATTTTGTAAAAAAGTAAAGGGCAGCTGAAAAATGGCGTGTTATGCAACTTTAATTCCATATTATGTAATTTTTCTACATGTTTATAAAAAGTCAGAGAATTTTAAATACCAAGGATACATTATATATTATTTGCCCCTATAAAAGTGGACTTTTTCCAGCCAAGGCAGGTATATTTTGGAAAAGATAACATGCAGGCTACAGTTTTCAGAAATTTTCATTAAGAATTCTCAAACCAATGACTAACTATTGAAGATAAGCTCCCTTGTAGGATTAAGAAACTCAAACTAAATTACCACTTTTTCCTATTTGTGAGTAATCTTATTTGCAAATTTGTCTCAAGGCAACTGAATTAAAAGTAGATATTATTCTCTCTCGACAATCTCTCTGAAATAAATGGGACAAAAAAGCTATTGTCTGAGAGAGCCCTATTTTTTTTAAAAGGAAAATATTCTGGATTAATTGACCAAAGTACCTATTAGTTCCCACGACATAACACTTATAGCATTTGGAGCTTGTTTCTCAGTGTGCAATTCAAATATATATATCCATAAAAATCCCTGTCGATAGTAATAGCCTGTTTTCTATTGATGCCACTTAACTATTAAAATCTCTCTTAGCAATCTTCATATTTTGTTGGATATCACTTACAGAAACTGTTTTGAACACTTCTGTTTTGCAGACCTCATGCCTGAGCCAGTGGCAAACACAAAGATAAACAAAAATATCTTCCTTCAAACTCATGCTGTAGTGAAAGACAGAAATACAGCAGAGAAGTGAACTTGGTGCGTTGGCAACTTTGCCATGTACCTCGCAGTTCTGTGTATATCAGAATTTCCTTTTATTTTGGTGATAAGGAATTATTTTGAAGACATAAGATTTTACCTATGTTGCCATCTGAAGTGTACATTGCTTCAAAGGGATGTCCTTTCATGTCACAGCTATGTCTTTTTTACCGCGATGATGCTTATTATTAAAATAAAGTATTCTATAATACTTTACATGGATGATCAAGTCATTATGCATCATATATACATGCACAACAGCTGGCAAATGTCTGACTGCAAGCCACAGGAAAAACCTTAGTGTTAAAAAAAAAAAAGAACACAAAGCAATCCAATGAACCTATGTAGCTACTGAGCCAATTCTTAGTGTGACAATCCTTTAGTTTCACCATGACCATCCACCAAGCTATCCAAATGTCTTGTTTGTAGATCCGCCCCCACATCATTTTTTTTTGTACCAGGAATTTAACTCAGGACCTTGTGCTTGTCAACCAGGGGCTGTGCCCCTGGGATACATCCCCAGCTATACCTTGTTTATTTTTATGCAGGAAAGCTAATGGACATATATTTGCTAGCAACTGGTACAGTCTAAGGGATAAAAAGCTTGTCAGAAGAGCAAAAGTGATTAGTATTGCTAGATTCTATTTCATAGTCTAAAACAGAGAGGGAGGGAGGGAGGGAGGGAGGGAGAGAGAGAGTACAAAGGTTATCAAACATATTCTAAAAAATTTCCCAAGTGCCAAAGATGGCAGACAGATTTTGTTTTATTTTCTTTAAATGATATGAAAGTTCTTCATGAGCTGGTACTCAAACACACTTGTCACAGAATGATACGTGTTGTGTTCAGTGAGCACAACTAGCTGAACATAATTTAACACACTTTTGTAGGCCAACACACATCAGGACTTCCTCCTTTCTAGCGATCGAACATAGAACTGTCACAAATAAAACACATTCATTGATCTGCTCATTAAGAATTTTGTGGCATAATATCTTATTTCAGGAATCATTCATACACAAAGAAACGGGAGAAGGAACAATCATTTTGAGTAACTGCCCTTCATGATTAAAAATCACAGCTCATTCTCTGGTGTGTTGTCTACTTTAGTTTCTATCAGGATGCATAATGCTAGAAATAGGTGAAGACTTTCTATTGAGTTGAGACCAAAGAATTGCTAGTTTTGATCTGATAAAACTTTGCTCCAAGCCTGAGGATTTATACAGAGAAATTCTGGTTTGTAAAACCAAATTCAATGCTGTTCTTGTCAGGAGAACTAACACTAAGAACAAAAACATGAGTAAGAATGCAGAGACTTACTGTATCACGTTGCCTGTTATCTTTCCCTGATATTATCAAGAAGTAGTTCCAAGTCAACAGTAACAACAGAACCAGGGGTATCATGTAGAGCTCAAAGTTCCACACCACAAAGAGAAAGAGCTGGAGGAAAGAGAAGAGAGGAAAAAGATGCGTCAACGTTGCGTTTTATTAGATGGACTCTTATTCATACTCTATTGCACAAACCAAAAACTAAAGGCTTCAGAATGGGAAGATTTATCTTGAAAACAAAGCTTTGAGAACTTGTAAGGCATTTTTCTAAACAGCACAAGTGACCCCTGCAGTCATGGTTAAGATTTTTACTTTGTTTCATTTCTAAGAAAGAAAAACTGGTATCATTACATTGTCAAAAAAGCAATTTTAATTTTTCTCCTCCAGTGAAATTATTGTTAGGTTAGACAAAATAAGATTTTTTAAAAGGCAGCAAAACGAGCTTCAGTACATTGTCAGAATAACCCAGTCTAGCTGTCTTAATGACAAAAGCTGAATCACTATTAAACATCAGGGATTTTTTAAATCTCACTTGGATAACACAATGTAACCAGTATAATAGGCAGATGAAAATACCAAGTCTACACAAGAGAGCCTCAAAGATTTCATGCTATGAAAAAAAAACCACCACTACCAACAAGTGCAAAAATGGTTGCCTTAACATTCAGTCTTACTATAGAAACGAAACAGTCATTAAATGAAAATAAAGAGTAACGTGGTCAAAAGAAATTCTAAAATACCTATTTGTATTAGCTTTTAAGATCTATTTCTCTATGCATATAAACTACTTTTTATTACAAAAAGGTAAATGCTAGATTAGGGACACAGGGTGGCAGATAGAGCCATCTTAAAAACATTTAAATTGTAAACTAACAGGACTTTGTATGTAAAGTGGAGCCTTTTATCCTCGATCCAGGACTCTTCACTCTTGAACATATTACCTAAACTGGGGAGGTACATGGCTCTTAGTTTTCCCTTTTACAATTGTTGTTAATATCTATTAACTTTACCTTAATTGATTTCCTGAAAAATAATAATCTTTATAAAAATAACAATATTAATTTTAGTTTTTGTCATTTTTTTTTTCAAAAGTTACAGACGTCATCTTTTGCTAGAAGCCTTTCTACTTTTCCAGTGAAAGAGAAGGTATGGTTCATGTGTCATGAACTGCAATATTTAGATTTTTTTGTTCAAGAACTTGAATCTATTATTATCACATAACAGTCTCCAAAATTCACGTATTATGTTACTACATCATTTTTCATGTTACTTAGGTGCCCATTTGAATTATGAATATCAAGAATTCCATAAAATTTAATATTAGTAAATCCAATGGTACAGTAATATTAGTGATCATTTGAAATATTGGAGAAGTGATGTAGAACTAATTGGGTTTATAGAAATCTGTGTAGATATGGAAACATTGCGGTGAAGTTTTTTCTAAGGCCCAGATCTTGAGTCCTCTGGCCTTCAGACTGGGGGTCTTGCTCACATTCTGTAGTTTAATTATTTCTGCCATTTGAATGGGCCGTGGGCTTGACTGAGATTCCTTAATGTGCGCCATGCCTATGCCTGACATAACATCCTTAGGATATGACCCATAAGTCCTCTGACCTGCCAAAGGCCTGGAGCTGATGGTACCCCAAACAACTGACTGAAATTCCTAGTTGTACGACCATTCGGCTAAATCTTAGTAGGCTGATGACTTTAGAATTTGTGGACCATCATCAATAATTAGTTCACTTTTTGAACATCAATAACACTTACACAACAGTAATTTTTAATTCTGTTTTTTCCCACTTACTAGATACCAAACAGTATGTCAAATCCTTAACACATTTTGGAGGCTTGATTCCCAGAGCTGAGCAGTGCTTCTTCCCCTGTCCCCATTCCACAGAAGAAATTAAATGGATGGAATGCCAGTTGCTAAAGGCTATTCAGGTAGCTAGCATTAGAGTCAGGTGTGGAGTCCAGCACTTCCATCTCACCTGACTTGGTATTACCTTCAGTTGATCTATGTAGTGAGATCCTGTAGACCCTTACTAAAATATGAAAAAAAAATCTACTATTTTAGCAATTGGGAAGGAGATCCTACCATTGAAAATATCTTTTTTAAAAAGAGAGCTTTGCAAGTCAACAACTTTGGACATTGCCAGTCTTATGGAAAACCTACTACTATTATGGACTACTGGACTATATTGGAATATTTTGCTGAATTCACACACCTACAATATTTCAATGACAATGGAATTCCCTTCTCTGGGAAAACTAAACAATAAAAGGGGATACAAATGAACGACCATTTTGTATCTGTATATTCAAAATAGTTAGGATAGATATACAGCTACTTTCTCTTAATTCAATGAATAGAAAGATTTGTTCCAATACTGTTTGTACAGGATACCATGTCTGCATCTTTTACAGTGAATAACCACTAAGACAACAATATTCAATGTATTAATTATTGAAAATGTGCCAGTAATTGGTTGTGAAACTGTCTCATTGATATTTGTTTCTCAATAAAATTATTAAAAAATAAATAAAAAGAGAGCTTTGAATGAAGGCCAAATACAAAAGCATTTAATTTTCTGAAAGATTAAGAAATAATATGGAACAGGTATTTTTCATCAAGTATTGCCAAGCAATGGCCGTGACTCATCCACATGGCTGACACTGACAAAGGTTCTACTATCTGAGGTACAGGAACTCAGGATAAATCCTGAGGGGATTTCACTGACCTTATCAGACCCAAAAGCTACAACTCTAGTTGCATAGGTCCTGCTTTACCTTGGTCTTAACCATCCAGCAGAAAAGTATAAAAACGAAATATAAGAAGTAAAGCCATGCTGTTATGTTGAGCTGTAGGGGACTCAGGTCAACAATTTCTGAATTTTCCAGTCAAGCGGAAGACCCAATACTATTAAGGGCTACTGAACTCTTTTAGAATATTTTGCTGAGTTTACACACCTATAATATTCAAATAATGGAACTTAACAAAAAAAGGGGATACAATGAATGTCCATTTTATATCTATGTATTCAAAGTGGTTAGGATAGATATATAGTTACATTCTCTTAATGAATAGAGGGATTTGTTCTAATGGTGTTTGTAAATAGGATATCATGTCCGTGTCATGTACAGCAATTAACCACTAGGAAGAATGTATACAATGTGTGAATTATTGAAACTGTGCTACCAATTTGATTTGAAACTGTCTCATTGCTATTTGTTTCTCAATAAAATTATGGGAAAAAAATAAAAAGCAATATGAACCGAGATGAACAATTAAAATGCATTTGTGGAATATTTGCAATGTGCTGAGTATTCAAAAGTAAACCAAAGTGGTCTCTAGACTTAAATTGCTAAGAGTTGCTAGAAAAACAGAAAGCAATCATTCACTAGTGTTAGTGATGATTCTAATTCTTGTTAGCAGTTAAGAGTCCTCTAATAAAAAGAGCCCTCTATCCTGAAGCCTCTTCACGCCTCCTGGGCCCATGTGCACAAAGACTGATCCTATCTTTTTTCCTACAAAAACCTGAAATAATACAAAAGACTGGGCCTTCAGCGTCCTATTAGGGTAGAGGAGAATGAAAACAGGCATGAGAAAACCAAGGAAAGCTGCAATGACCCAGGATCTGTCCTTGGTCCTGACTATTTCTTCACAGATTTGGGAGAAAAGAGAAAATGAGCTAAAATGGGATGAGCAAAGAAGCTAAGAAACAATCAAAAAACAATGTACAATGCAGTCAAAGAAAATATATAAATCCTAAAAATTGTAGCATGTAGTGTCTTCACCCATACTTCCTGAACCCCTCTCTGCCACTTTTGCCTGTTTTGAACAAAAGTCCTAAGATTTCCAGAAATTTTCACTATTACACCAGGTGATGGGGACTTCCACAGATTTATACAGTATCTAAGTTCATTCAGTTCTGCTACTATCACAGCTTCCCTTCACCTCTCTGCCCTTCTCGCTGCCAACACACAATCATGTCTCCCCTTCTCTCCCTGAAGCCATATTCCTCTGCCCACTGTTTGCACCCCACTCTTCAGTAAGTAAGGAAACTGGGGCTCTCTATATTTTATCTTCATAGAGTCCATACCTCCCTTCCAGGCAAAGCCCTGTGTTAGTTATCTCTGTGCATTAGAGACTAAGATTATCCGAGCATTTGGTGGTTTACTTTGCAAAACATCACTAGATTAGCCAGGCATTGTGCTGCACACCTGTAATCCCAGTACTCAGGAGGCTGAGGCAGGAGGATTGTTGTGAAGAGACCAGCCTGGGCTACAGGGTGAGCTCAAGGTGAGCCTGAGCTTCATAGTGAGACCCTGTCTCAAAATACACACAAAAAATCACTAGATGGTTGTTACAATTACAATTAAAATCATATAGCAGAAAATCATTACAGAACATTAGCCAAGAGGTACTAAATACATACAGCTCTCATTATCAAAAGGACAGTGCCTGTTTTAGCCATTATCTAGAAGTTAGAAACTTTTTCATCTGGCTTTGGACTTCCATTGAGGACCATGAGATCCTACATGGTACTAGTGCAGTTTGGTAAAATGGAGAGAGAATAGGTATCTACATGAAGTCCAGAGACATCAGTGAGATAGCTCAGTGGACTGAGTGCCTGCTTAGGCAAGTGCAGTGGCCAGGCTTTGACCCTTGGCACCACATGCCATGCTGGCCCAACCCCCGTGGTGTGCTAAGCTGGCCACCGAGACAGGGCATGGTGGTGCACACCTGTAATCCCAGTACTGGGGAGGCTGAAAACAGGAGGATCGCTATGAATCTGAGATGCATAGTGAGACCCTGCACAAAATACATTAAAAAAGAAGTCCAGAGGCATCCTATCTCCCGAACTATTAGTGTTGTGATCTTGGGCAAGTTATTAAATCTCTTTTGATTTTATCTAAAAAGTAGAAATCCATTTTTTTTTGCATATTTGAGATAGTATTGGCCTGATGCTTGGCACCTAGGATGTCCTCTGGCCTACGCTGTGAAATGTATGGGCCTTCTTGCAGCTACCATTATTTTTCTGCAAAGGAAACCAATTTTGTTAAAGTATCACCAGAAACGTTTTGAAATAAATGTACACTATTAAAATAAA